CCCAGCGCTGTGACTTGAGGTGAGGCAGAACATCATGGCAGAAGGGCATGGCGGAACAAAGCTGCTCACCTCATGGCAGCCGGAAGGGGAGAGAGGGAGAAAGAGCCAGGAAAAGATACACCCTTTAAAGACATGACTCTAGGGAGCGGCTTCCTCTACTAACCTCCTATTCCTCAGCTCTGAAGTCTTGAAGGGGTTTGTCCATTGATGAGGTCAGGACCCTCCCAATCCAGTCACCACTCTAGGCATCTCTTAATCTAATCAAGTTGACAATGCAGATGAACTGTCACAGCCTAGCTATTTTAGGACCTTTCAAGTTTGAATGAAAAAGTTGAAAAATAAAGCTGATATATATGAAGACAGAACAATACATTCAATCTGATTTCCCTGACTACTTTAATGATTATGATTATGTGGTTAATTTTGATGAAGTGCTTTCAGTATGACAAAGCTCCATACTAAACATTTCATTTATGTGTCTTATTTAGTTCTTGAATCTACCCTATGAGTTAGGTATTAGTATACCCATTATACAGATGAATTTGTAACCATTATGCTTCCTAATATTTAATAATGTACTATATTAATGATGTACTTTTAAGTGTTCAACTCTGGAGTTTTGTACATATGAGATATATATATATATAGTGGTACCTCAGTTCACAAACTTAATGTGCTCCTTGATTCTGGAAAAGGTAGCCACATTTCTGTTCATGCAGGAAAGTTGGCCACAGTCATGTTTGTCAGCCAAGGCAGAGTTCACAGACAAGAAAAAAATTTTGCCAAAAACTTCTGTTTGTGAATCAAATTGTTCACAAAGTCATTTGTGAACTATGTATCACTGTGTATGCGTGTGTGTGTGTGTGCACATCACACAATGACGTTTATATTGATAGTCACATAAAATTATAATGGAATTGAAAAAAATCCCATTGTTTAGTAGTTGTACTGTACCCTTTGTGTGTTTAGATATGTACATAGTTAGCATTGTATACCAGTTAGTTTGTTTACAGTATTTGGCACAGTAACATGACGTACAGGTTTGTAGTTTGCTGTATAGCATGTACAGGTGTGCTGTAGTTTGGAGCATCTAGGTTTATGTAAGTGTATTCTACATTTTTCACAGGACAAATTCACCTAATGGTGATTTCTCAGAAGGCCTCCCTGTTGTTAAGTGATACTTGACTGTAAATTCACATTTCTTTTTTGTTCTTTGAACAAATACTGATGTACGACCATTTATGACCAGATGTGCTCAATCTGGAGCTCTCTCTCTCTTGACATTAAGGAACATACAATGTTAGTGGAAAAGATGGACTTGCTGGAGAGACAAGAACAAGAAGTCTTGGTTATTTCTTTAACAGTGACAGGTACAAGTGTGACAGAAATGTGGGAGAAGAGGGCCTCCTCTTCCTGGAGGCATCCTGGGGATCTTCCCAGAAAAGTAGCTCTAGCTTCAAGCCTTGAGAAATGAGTGAGCTTGTAAAGATGGTTTGCACAGGGAATAGAAAAGGCAGAGTATGGAGATGAGCACCAGAAGGAAGCTGGTCAGGCAGCCATAGGACTCAGAGAGCTGGGTGTCAAGTGCAGCTGGAGGAGAGAGGGGCCGGCTGGGGTCAGACTAGATACATACTATAGATAGATAGATAGATAGATAGATAGATAGATAGATAGATAGATAGATAGACTGCCAAAAATATATATACATGTATGCACATATCAAGCAAAGAAAAACTTGTATAAATATTTTAATACTAAATTTATTAGACATCATGAAATTCATACAAGGTACCTTTGGCCTCTGCAATTACAAGAGGTGGTCAAACTCGTGGCCATTAACTTCTAGGCATTTTTTAGTAAGGTGAACTGCAGCTTGGGTAACCTCGGTCGCTGAGATTGCTGCATATGAATGTTTAGTTTCGTCTCTATGGCTTGGCAGTGTAGTGGGTTTTCTGCCATATACAACATCCTCTAGGGTTCCCCCCTACAAGGGTAACACCATCTGTTGAAAAAACATCATACTATTTTTCTTTTCCTGAAGTGTGTACACATATTTTTGGTGGACTCTGTATATATATATATGGTTTTATACGTGCAGAGTACCAGAGCTGAGCATTTAAAATATATCACTAACATAGTATGTTAGACGTTGTACTTTATGTGTTGAAAAACCATCTGCAAAGTTATCTAACAGACGCAAATTAAATAAATGACCACAAATAGGGGATGTCCTTACTTCCTCCTCCTTCCCTCCTCCCTTTGTTCATGTCTTCGTTCAGTGGATTTCTACTGGGTGCTTACAGCATGTAAAGCAATGCATGGACTACTAAAGGGAATAGGGCAGCCAGGAAGGCACACAGGTATGAGCTCACACCTGGGGGAATAAGCATTAATTAATCAACTAAACAAAAATGTGCAATTACAAAAGTGACTAGTGTAGCAGTAGAGAGTGAGGTGGAGACCACAGGCTGGACTAGGAGGTAGAGACCTGGGCAAGGAGATTAGGGAAGGCTCCCCAAGGAGAAGAGGGCTGAGCTGAGGGATAAAGGAGAAAAGAATACAGGACATTTGATGAAAGAGGCAGGTGATTCGGGGCAAACTCATAGCAAGGAGGACATCATGTGCAATGGCCCTGAGGCCTAAGAGAGCAGAGGGGGTTTTAAGGGATTGAAATATGCAAGGGTACAGGCTGGAAGAGAAGCCAAGACTGGACCATATGGGCCTGGGGGGCCACATTTGGAATCTAGGCCCAGTGCAAAGGCATTGCAGTGCTTTCAGCAGCAGCTGACAATGGGTGATAGGAGGGTGGGGTGGCAGGTGGCAGGGGTGGAAGCTAGAAGACCAGGTGGGAAGACAGCATAACAGTCCAGTAAACTGTTAGGGTGCAGGCGAGAGGTAATGTTGTGAGGTACACCAGTGGCAAAATCAATGACTTGATGGTGAATATGGAGTGTAGTTAGGGAGGGTATAGTTTTGGTGCCATTGCTTAGCCATGGAACATAGGAGGGCTAATTGGATTGCCAGAAAATGCTGAAGGGGAGGAGGGGAAGCCATTGCACAAGAATGGAGCTAAAGTTGCCCTTGAAGGATGAGTAGGGGTTTTCTAGTTGGTATGGAAGGGAATGGCAGGTTAATCAAAAGGAGGGTTGTGTAGAAAGGCACAGACAGCAAAGAAATCCTCTGTGTGTGTGTGTGTGTGTGTGTGTGTGTGTGTGTATGTAAAACAATGAGGATAAAATGGGAATTTGTTGAAGGGGACTTGTATTAGTTTGCTTTCTGTGACTGATCTGAAATACCTGAGGCTGGGTGCTTTATGAGGAAAAGAGGCTTACTAGGTCACACTTTTGGAGGCTGATAGTACAAACAAAGTGCACAGCACTGGCCCTGGTGAGGGCCCCTCTGGCTGTGTCACATCAGACTGCATGGTGTCAGAGAGAAATCACAGGGCAATATAGGAAGCCAAAGAGAGGCAAGGGGTGAGTCTTACTTTTTTTTCAATATAAGAACCTTCTCATGAGAACCGATTCAGGGTCGCAGGAGAACGACTGACTTTAATTCCTTGAGAAAGCAGTGACCTCAATGCTGTAATTTCTTCTCCCTCCCCCAGCTTTCCAATACCTGAATCCTTGGGACCCATAAATCATTTTGTTGATGCTTTGGTGTGTATCTACTTATTCTGTGTAGTGATTCTAAGATTTACAGTATCCAGATTTTGTAAACGTGCAACATGTTGAAATACTTTTAATGTCACAGATCTGTTTGGTATAGAAATTCCTTTCTAATCTTTCCATACCTTTTATTATCTTATTATGTTTACATTAATTACTTTCCATATCTTTGTTTAGGGATAGGCATGTGGCTTTTGATTTTATTATCAGTCTTCTTTCTCATGAAATTTATCCACTTAGGTAGGATGTGGACTTTAGACTTTTAGTTAGTGTTTTGGCATCTAAATTTGGGATTACCTGACATTTTTAATTTACTAGGATAATTATCAGTACACTGTCACTTGGAATATGAACATATTGAGTTCAGTTAAGCTTGTGAATTAAGATCAAAGAGTAGTCACGTCCAAGAAAACTTAGTAGTATTAGGACTTAGGTGGCATGTCAACTTTGGGGAGAAGTGAAGTAACGCTGAATTGATACCTTCCTACATTTTTTATAGGTATGTGTTTGTGGTGCATAACAATGATATTTGTCTGGGGAAATTGGTAAACACATGCATATGGAACGTATCTTGATTATTTTGGTCCCCTGTGTCCCTTCTTGACCTCTTCTCTCCCCCCGCCCCAACCCCTTTCCTCATGTCCAAATAACAACTCGGTATAAAGGTGGTGTAGTACTGGGGTAATAAGCATGAATCCTGAGAGCAGTGATGGCCTAAATATTGGTTATAATGGCTGCTAGTGGGCACTGTCTGCAGTCTCATTTTTTCTTGTCTAATACAGAGCTAATCATGGTGGCCAGCTCGCTCGTGGGGGAAATGTGTGTGAAGCACTCAGCACAGAGCTAGGAGCGTAATAAATATTCTGTCGTGGTTGATGACTTTGGACATCCCCGATAGCACGTATTACTAGAGTCATCAGCAGAACGGTACTTATGGTTTCAAAATGAAAGGCAGAATGGTAAACACAGGTGCTGAAAGGCTGTACCTTTGTGGCTACATAGAATTGTGGAGAGCATTAAATTCAGCATGTGCCTGACATTTTCTGGAAAAGAACTATTTTTTATTTTTCTGAAATGCAGCAATCAGGAGACAAAGAGGGAGGTGGTATCTCACAGCTCATGGGATGTGTTTGGAAACAGGATCACACTTATCCTAAGGGTAGGGGTCATGTGTGTGTGTGTGTGTGTGTGTGTGTGTGTGTGTGTGTGAAAGAGAGAGAGGAGAGAGAGGTCATGCAGCAGTAAGTTTCCCTTTTCATTGACTTGAGCTAATGTTAATTGAGGACAGAGTTGCTGCCTAACTCAGTGGGAATATTGTTTTTATAATTACAGATCTAGGCATCTTACACTGAGCTTCTCTACTGCCTCCCTTTCTACTCGAGCAAAACCTGTGTGAAAAGACCTACTGCGAAGGAGCTGCCTGCTGACGGCTTTCCACTGGGATGAAAGCACATGGTCCAGGTAAGCATCTCTCAAATCTTTCACCAAGAAGAATTACCACTGAGTGGTAAAGTCCCCCAGATGGGGATAGGGTTGTATCAGTAGTATCTCCTCATGCACACACATATACAAAATGAATATATATCTACACAGTCATATGTTCTTCCTTTATATATTCTTTAGGTCTCTTTTTAGAAAAATAGAGATTTTGCTTTTTTAGTAGGAAAAGTCATTTCTACCCATTTTCAAAGTATTGATCAGGATAGATGCTCAGGCATTGCTAAGGAGGGGACGATTCTGGTCTGGCTCACAGCTCAGTGTTTGCCTAGGGTGCTTGAACCTGGGTTGAATCCCCAGTACGAGTACTACAAAAGGGTACATGGTGATGATTCCAAAGGGAGTATTCATAAATTTGGCCAGAGAGATGGGCCATCAGATGGTAGTAGAGAATAATACAATACATACTGTCATCAGCCTTTGGTTCTTAACAATCAATATCTTTTCATCTACAATGTAATTTTGGGTGATTATATAGTATACCGTTGAACAGATTTATCAAAATTCATTCAGTTGATTGCCTCTACCTGGACATTGAGTTGTTTATAAGGTCTGTTTGCTTTTAGGCTGCCAAAAATGTTCTTGTAGCTCTCTATTCATTCCCATTACTAGCGGCTTCCTTGGGATAAATGCCTATCAGTGAACTGCTGAACTGAAGACTTTATGGTTTTAAGACTTTTGATACCGGTTGCTGAATGACTTTCCAATAAAATCGTTAGTTTCTATTTCCAGAGGAAATATATGAGAGTATCTATCTGCACAATTTTCCAATACTGAGAATTTGGGAAACAAAAAGAGGCTTTTCCAATTGATTATAAGAAATGGTGACTGTGTGTGTGTGTGTGTGTGTGTGTGTGTGTGTGTTGCATATGCGTGAGAGCATTTTATTTGTAAATCATGCTGATTTGAGAGGCTTTCTGTTGTAGACAGTAGCAGGCTTGAAACTTAGCAGATTTTGACATTTGAGAAGTAATACTAAATCGAAAAAGAGTGGAAGATCCCTAGGGAATTTCAAGTTCTTCCTTTTTTGCCAAGTATTTTTTGACAATTGTGAAATCACTGGATAGCAATAGTTTTCCAGTGGAAAACGAAGCTTTTCTTTTCTTAAAAAGATATACTTTTAAAAGGCTTCATCAGTGTTTACCTGGAGCTGTACTGCTCACTAGTTCAGTGTGTGTGTGCATGTGTGTGTGTTTCTGCACCCAGTGTTGGTAATGTGATTAAATATAACCATGGCAGCCCTGCAGGACAGAGGCTGGAGATCCTGCCGGGGAAGACAGCAGGCCCAGACGGCCTGGGCTCAGACTGCAGCTCTGCTATTCCCTAGAGGTGTGACATTGGGCCAGCCTGCATTTGTAAAATTTAGGATAAAATAGTGTCCATCTCATGGGGTGTAGTCTCAAGTGAATATGATGTGTTTAAAATCACTAAACATCTCATATCAAGAGGATGCTTGATGCTATGGAAAAATGAGCACAATAAATTGAGCACAATAAATTTAAACAAATATAAAGTGTAATACTGATCATGGCAATATCCCAGCCTTGTGTGATCATTCTTCCCTTCTTCCTCCATTCCCCCCCCCTTTGGCCTTCTCTGCTGTCTGAAAAAAGTTGAATATACTTCTGCATGACTTTGGTTCGCATTCAGAGTAATCCTGGTCTTGGAGAGGCTGCCTGCTTGAAGACTTCCAGAGAGAGACCCATTTTCCCCAGGGCTTTGAGGGGAACCCTGGGCTCAGGCCCTGTGGGAGAGCAGAACCACATTCCCATCCATTCACCCTGGGCAGCACAGCAGATGTCCTGGGCCAGGCCCACTCTGGGCCTCTTGTGGACGACACGACAAGAGTTCCTCACCGTCTGGCACCATATGTGATTTGTCCTACTTGGCTCAGCTCTTCCCCCATTACTAACTAAGCTTCATTTCACTAAATAAATGAAAGAGAAGGTAGATTAAGAGCCCCCCTACCCCAGCACTTTGGCAATGCATGCTTTATTCTACCTAAACACAAAAGGCGAAACTATGGCATTCTGAGTCTCACCACTCTTTGGCTGAATCTTAAGGTTGAAAAGTGGAAGGGTAATGAGCCAAAGAAATATTTGGCACTAAGGAGACAGGGCCACTTGGATGGCTTCAGCCACTACCTTTCCCTGGTTTCCCTGCAACTAGCTTGTATCTGTAGACACTGCATTCATTGGGCCTCTAATTTCCAGTCTAATTTGAAGAGCTCTGAATTTCTCAGTAAAAAAGGAACATCTGAATTCCTAATTAAGACATTTTAGCATAAGAATTACTCTTTAATGGGTCATAAATTATTCTCCTTTAAGTGATTATGAGGATGAATAAGAAAATAAAACTTGTATTTGTACATGTGTGTGTATTAATTCAGCAAAATTAATGAGGTCACGGAAGGAGAGAGGACAACAAATGTGTTGGCAAATATTGGCCAGGAAAAGAGTTCCTAATGTTCTCCAAGCCTCGGATGAGGCACCTTACGAGTGTAGGTAGAAGGGCCGTATATAGCCGCAGTGAGAATGGTAATAACACTGCCATATGGAACATTTGGTATTTGGATAGCACTTAGCTTCCGCCTAAGCTGCAGAATCAATAGAGGCTCAAACAGAGAGGAAGAAACAATTCTTTAGCTGTGGATCACTAGCTGGTATGCAGCAGTGCAGACAACGTAGATTATCAAGGGCTTTGCAGGATAAATTTCTGCAGGAGGCAGGATAGTGGGTGTATTTAACCATGTCTAATGGTGCCATGGCCTTGTGTGTGGTCCAGCCATTTTTGGTTGTTTCCTTATGCATTGCTGTTCAAACCATTTTTGCAGTCTGCAAGACTAGGCCAAACCATTTTTGAAAACTTACTCCACAGGGACACCATAGAGACTTTAGGGTGTCCTAGGATATGGCCAGGAAAGAATTAAAGCCAAACTTTTGAATGATCAGAAAAGATGACAATGTCTTCAGATTTAGCCTCATCCAGCCATTCATCACTCATTTAGTCACTTGATAAAGGTGTTATTAGGAGCTGCTGTTGTTCTCTGTTAGGCATTGGAGATACAGAGCCAACTAGGAAGACATGGGGTCTGCACAGTCCTAAGGGAGAGGGAGCTGAATGGGACCATTCTAAAGGGAAACATGGAAGGCATCTGGTGAGAGAAACTGGAGCATCCAGCAAAGAAAGACACTGACGTGGAAGACACGGGGCAGCAAGAACCCAAATGCAGTCAGGGGCTGGCAGTGAGGTTGTGATTTACGACAGCGGTACCAGGTTGGGAAATAAAGAAGCTAGGGAGGAAAGACCCCTGTAAACATTCCTGGAATGTCTAAGTGCTGGGCTGGTAAAGGTAATGCAGCTCTTGATCTCTTAATTTGAGTAACCTAATAAATGCATCATATTGACAGTACATATCATTAAAAAGATGAGAAATCAATCTGTTTTGCTTTCTATGACTGCATGTGGTGCATGTCAGAAGACTGGATGTCATCCTCCTCTATCATGGTCTATGGTAACAGTACATCTTCCCCCATCCTCGAGGGATACATTCCAAGGGGGTTGCTTGAAAAATGTGAGTAGTTCTGAAACTTGTGTATACTATGATTTTGCCTAGACATCACTACTTGTGATGAAATTTAATTTAGAAATTAGGCCCAGTAAAAGATTAACAGAAGTAATGGAACAGTCCTATCAATATAATGCAATACCAATTTGCAGTTTGGGGCCCTTGTTAAGTAGAACCAGGATCACTTGAACACAAGCACCACAGCAGCACTGCAGTGGGTCTGATAACCAGGTTATTGCTGAGTGACTGAGGGGTCCACATATTCAGTGTGAAGGCACGAGACTGAGGTATAATTCTCTTCTGGGTGGGAAGGACTGTGATTCCGTCATGCTGCGCAGAATTTAGAAGTTGTTTATTTCTAGAATTTTTAAACTTAGCATTGTTTAAACATTTAAAAGTTGTGAATTTAAAACTTATGAATTGTTTATTTCTGGAATTTTATATTTAATATTTTCAGGCTGCAGCTAACCGTGGGTAACCGAAACCATTGTAAACAAAACTACAGACCAGGAGGGATTCCTCTACTTTCATTAATTACCGCACACGTGAAGAAATGGGGTGATTGCTTCACCAGAGTGTACTTGCCTTACTCTTTTACTAACTGTATCTTTTCCTACTTCAGCCACTATATTTACATTCCAGAATGAGATTAAATATAAAATCAATCCTACCGTTTGCACACATGCATAATTAACCTTAGTTGACTCTAAAGATAGTCAGTTCTGGATCAAAATAGTCTCGCTAGTAGTCACATCGTGGTCACCTTAGTAACTTGGGGCCCTTCTGGTCAGTGTTGTCTGTGGAGTTGGAGTTTTTCTTACCTCTTGCCTTCTTTCCTGGATGCTTGTAGCGAGTGTCTTTTAAATAACAGGATCCACACGGAGATGTCTTTTCTCTCCTTTGGACTTCTATGTGGGTTTGATAAAAGCAATCTGTTTTGCTTTGGGTTTACTGTCAGTAATGGGCCCTTTTCTCTCTTTATCACTGTTAGCTGCTGTATTCTGGGGCTCAAACATCTAGCATGAAAACAAACAAACAGGCTTTCCCCCCTCCTTTGACAACCCCAGTTTAGTCATCCATCCTCGGAATCATGTGCATTCTGAAGCACAGGGTCTTTCCCACCCGGGCATTGGCGTGTCTTTTTCTATCATTAAGAAAACCATCTTGACGTCCACTACATGTTTAAAATCAACATCTCTCCCAAGTTGAACTTTCAGCACGAATATTTGCTTCACTTTTCCATTGCAAGTCTTTCAGTCTGGAGGCAGCATCCATCATTCACAGCCAGTATGGGGGGAGGCAGTATTTTAAGACACTTAATGATATTTTTCACGGCAAAAGGAAAAATGTAGGGTCAAAGACGTACACAGTGTTTTATATGTAGGCATAGCTTTTC